GAAGGAGGAGGAGTTGGTGGTAAAAATGCAAATTTTTTTTAAATAATCCAAAGTTTTTTTTTTTTTTTAAACTTTTTTAAAATTAAAAAAAGATAAATTTGAATTTTTTTTTATTTTTTTATTACACAATCAGAATTTTTTTTTTGCTTTAATTAAAGCCCTAAAATTTTTTTCATAAAGTAAACAAACGATATTTAAATAATTGAACTAAAAAAAAAAAAAAAAAAAGGTTTTTTCCCCTTTTTCCCTTTTATTTAAAAAATTTCTTTTTTTTTTTTCCAGAAGGAATAATGACTGGATTATTAAAATTATTATTACTCGTCTTCCAAGTTGGTTTTGTATTATCATTTAAAAAAGATTACGTTTCATACGATAAGTAATTAACACCAAATAATAATAATAATAATTTTTTTGTTTTTTTTTTTATGTGTTTTTAATCCAAAAATTTATTACAGTTATAAAGTTTACAATGTTTTACATTGCGGAAGTGACATCGTCGATAAATACACTTTATTAAAACAACAAAAATACGTTAACAATGATGGAAGTGATTTTTGCATGCAAACCTATTTGGTACCCCCACATAAAGAATTAAAATTTTTAGGAATTTTACGATCTGCCGGAATAAATAAATTTAATTTAACAAATGATAATCTCGGAAGGTACGTATGCGAAACACTTTTCTTTTAAACGTTTAAATATTCATTTAATTATTATTATTATTATTATTATCGATTTCAGGAGCATCGAAGAAGAGAAAAGACCAGGAATAGCATTTAAATCAGGAGCACCGTTTTATTTAACATACCGCTCGTACGAAGAAGTAAATATTATTATTATTATTATTTTTATCATTATAAAAACTCCATTATTGATATTATCATTATTATCGACAGATGATACGATACATAAATAGTTTGAGAGATATTAAAAATTATAAAAATGAATCCGTCGCAGTCGTCGAAAACATCGGTAAAAGTTATCATGGAAGAGACATGTTTCTGGTAAAGGTATCATCGGATCATTCTGCAAAAAAACCGGTTATTTTTTTCGAAATTGGTATCCATGCCAGAGAATGGCTCGCACATGCCACAGGATTATACATGTTGCATCAACTCGTTGAAAATTTCGAAAATAATTCGGGACTCCTTGATAAAATCGATTATTACATGATACCCGTCACTAATCCGGACGGTTACGAATATTCTAGAGAAAAGGTAAAAAAAATTTTCGCGGTAAAATGCTCGACTCCGCCCCTCCCCTCCTCCCTTATTTTTTTATCTCCTTACTCATTATTATTATTATTATTATTATTGAATTAAAGAATCGTTTATGGCGTAAAACTCGTTCCTTGTTCGGAGGAGCTTATGGAACTGACGGAAATAGAAATTTTGATTTTCACTGGGGAGAAGGTGGTACCAGCAGCGATCCTAGAAGTGAAATATTTAAAGGACCTTATCCATTTTCCGAAGTCGAAATGAGAAACGTTCGCGATGCTGGAGCAAAATACGCACCGAGAATAAAAACGTTCGTGTCCGTTCACTGTTACGGCCCCTACATTCTCTACCCCTGGAGTTACAAAACATCTAAACCTGCTCCCCAAGCCGAACTCATGGTAAGTTTTATTTATTTAAATTATTTATTAAACATAAAAATTTATTAACGGTTTATTAATTAAATTTTCTTTTTTTTCCAGGATAAAATTGGTAGAGAAGCTGCTTTGGCCATAAAAAAATACAACGGTACCAAATACGCTGTCGGTTCATCGACCGAATTATTATGTAAGTAAGATGGCGGTGGTGGTGGTGGTGGTGATGACGTCACTTCTTACCCTAACAAAAAAAAAAATTTTTATATAAATATACGAATGATTAATTTTCCACAGACGAAGCTGCCGGTGGATCCGATGATTATTTCAAAGGAGTTTTAGGTGTCGATTTATCTTTTACCGTCGAATTATCGTCTGCTGGAAGGGATAGTTTTGTCGTACCTGCATCGGAAATTCACGGAGTCGCAAGTGAAGCATTCGAAGGTTTTAAAGTTATGGCAAAATACGCAGCCAATTACAAAAAAAATAAATAAATAAAAATAAAAATAAAATATTATTGTAAATAATTAACTCGACCTCAAAAACATTTTTCGACGATGATAATAATAATGATAATGATAATGATAATAATAATATATTATTAAAATTATTAAAAAAAATTCGACTTCACGGAGTCAATTAAATTAATTAAAAAAAAAAAAAAAACCGGAAATTAATTTTTAAAAGAATTTTTAGAATAATTCTGTCTGTCTGGAGAAAAATCGTTATTTTTTATATAATGATACAAATAATAATAATAATAATTTTTTTGTGTCAAGAAAGAAGAGGGAATGTAGAGTGGGGAGGGAGGGAGAAGGAGATTCGACTCACAAATTTTTTCTATTTTTTCCCAGAAGGAAGTTTTTTTTTTTTTCAAATTATACTTTCTTTTATCATAATAATTTCCCCCCCCCTTTTCCTTTTAACAAAAAGAAAATAATAATAATAATAATATGAAAAAAAACAAAGTTAATAATAATAATAATAATGATACGAATTTGAAATATTTTCAAGTCTCTAATCAAACAAATATGGTAATAGAATCAAAAGGAAAATTTTTTCATCATTATAATCGCGGATTTTTCAGTTTTCCTTTAATCAGGGAAAAAATAAAATTTTCCTCATCTGAATAATCATAAAACGTGATTAACGTACACGTGATGTGAAATAAACCCCCCAAAAAAAAAAATTTCATTTCATTTCTTTCTTCCCTTATCTCTCGTTGTAACGAACCCTCTCCCTCTCTCTCTCTCTCTCGTTATCATTTTTTACGTGTCTTTTCTCTCCTCTTCTCCCCCTCTCTCCCTTTTTCGCGATTATCTCTTGTCATCATCATCGTCATTTTCTTATCACATCCCACCTGATTTTGTAAATAAAATTCAACAACCACGTGATGATTGATTGAATGAATTGTTCTTTGCCATTTGTAACATGACAATTATCATCATCATCATCATCATTATTTTGGTTATTGTATTTGATTATGTACCGCGTTTTTTTTTTTTTGTTTCGTTATCATCGAATTCTGTAATTGATAAAAAATGATATGTTATGGGGATTCCCCGATTAAGTTTTTGTTTTGTTTTGTTTTGTTTTTTTTCATTCTCTGGAATTTCGTTTCCAAAAAAAAAAAAAAAAGTGAGGAGTTATTTAAAGGGGTGGGAGAAGGGGAGGGACGAATAAAAATCGACGGGTGGACGGGGGAGGGGGGTGAAAAAAAATTTAAATATTTTCGTGACGTCGGTCCCTTATAAAAGGGGTTGAAACAACAACAGTAATAATTTTTCTTTTTTTTTCTTTTTTCTCTCTCTCCCGAATTTGTCTTTTTTCCTATTATTATTATTATTATTATTTCTTTTCTTTTCTTTTTTTTTTATTTGTTCCCCCTCATGATAATTTTCGTATAAAATAGGATTGGATTAAAATTTGAGCATGTGTAGACTAACACGAAGAAATGGAATGCAATTACAAAAATAAATGTTATACAATGGGATTTAGAATTTTGTCCAATTTGAAATTCAAGTTTCGTTTGATCCTTTTAAGTTTTCCAGCCCTCCAAACAATTTCTTAATGGTATTATGTCCTCTTAACCATGCTTGCTCCTTTTTTTTTTTTTTAGGGATCTTCGACGGTAAATTTTTAACTCGGTTGAAAAAAAAGAAAAACAAAATTTTCGACGTTTGATTTGTAGAGAAAAAAAAATTTTCTTTTCTCTTTTTTTTTTTTTTTCTTCTTCAAGTTTTTTTGTAAAAACTTGAAAAATGAAAAATTAAATTTTTCTTTTTTTTCCAATAGAGAGAGAGAGAGAATAAAAATAAAATAAAAAGATTTTTTTTTTTTTTGTGAAAAAAAAAGATTTTTCTTCGTTTTTCGAAAGTTAAGAAACAGAGAAAGAGAGAGAGGTCGGGAGAAAAAAAAATTTTTTTTTTAATATAAGAAAAAAGGAAGGGGAAAGGGGGGAAAGTAGAGGAGAGGAGGAAAAAAAGGGGAGTCAGTCTCTTGAGCTAAGAGCATCGAATCGAAAAATTCATCCGAGAGAATATAATCTAATTTTAAATTTTCTTGAAATATGAGTTTTGAAAAAAAAAAAAAAAAGGAAAACTTCATTTTTTTGTACGCGCGCAAAAAAAAATTTTCTTCTCTTTTATTAATTTTTTTTCTTTTTTTTAATAAACTCTTTTAAACCATTTTTTTTGCTCCATTTCCCCTTTTCCCCCTCCTCCCAATAAAAAAAATTCAAATCGTTTAATTATTCGTCGACGATATCATTAACCAACAACAACCTCCCTCCCCAAAATAATAAAAAATTAATAAAAGGCTAAAAGGTATCGATGATAAATCATTACTCCATAAACTTTTTAGAAAAAAACAGGTGAAAATATTTATTATTAACCTTTTAAAATATTCCATAATGACGTCATAATAACATCACCCCCTTAATAACAACCCTTGACCTCTTTATAGTTTTTCACTTTCAGGTTTTATACCCTATAATTATGATTGTTTACAAGATGGTGACAGTGGTGGTGGTGATGATGATGATGGGGGGGGGTGGTGGTGGTGGTGGTGATGGTGTTGATGATTCACAAAATAAAAGTTTACTCAACCAATAAATTATTTATTTATTTATTTATTGGCTTAGTATGATTTCAATTCTCTCGAGAAAAATTACATAAAATCTTTTAGTATCAATCCATCGATTTTTTCACTTTAAATCCGCCATTTTTTTTTTTTTTTTATAGAAAAAACCCCCACTCGTAGTTTGTTTATTTAATTCTACGTTGAAAAACTTTCGATTTGTTTTTTTTTTTTTTATTTTCTCATACCATTCATTCGTTTGTTTGTTCGTTTGTTTGTTTGTTTTCATATGAGTCCATTTAAACAGTAGTACAATTAACTTTTGCATAAACAATATTAATTAAAAAAAAAATTCTTGATTAGCGCAACGAAAATTAAAAAAAAAAAAAAAAAATGGAAAAATTATTATTATTATATGTGATTTTTTTTTTTTTTAAACTCGTCGGCTAGACTCGTCATAAATTATACTGTCGAACCTCCCCCCCCCCCCCTTTAAAAATTATTATTATTATTATTTTTTTTTTTAAAAGTTTGTTTCTTAAATAAAAAAATAAAATTTTAATTAGCGAAGAAAAAAAAAAAAAAAGGAAGTAGCTTACCTGGTAAAAAGAAAAACTTGTTAATAAAAAATCCTTCAAGGCATTCTCCAGTTACAACAACTAAAAAAAAAAAAAAATCTCATAAATTCTTTATAATAACCAATTAGTTCGACTCCGGTAAAAAAATAAAACAACCATTTAAGTAAATTTAGTTGTAGTTTTGTTTGTTTGTTTGTTTGTTTGTTGCTGATATTCACCGATTGTATTATTTGTTATTTTTAAATTATTCATTTTTTTTACGTTATTAATAAACGTAGAATTTTTTTTTTTTTTTTTAAAGAAAATCAGAATGAATTTCATTCATAAATATCGATTAAAATTTGCAAAAAATTTCGTCTGCTGCAAAAAAAATATCACGTGGTTCACAAATAAACAAATTTTAATTTTTTTTTTTTTTTTTAAATGGGCGGGAGATAAATAAATTTTCTTTTAGTTTTTTCATTCATTCATTTTTTTTTTTTTTAACGTAAACTACTTATACAAATAAAACAGGTATCAATTATTATAATTCAGGTAGGTAAGGTTTATTATTTAAAAAAAAAAAAATTTTTTTTTTTATCTCATTCTGAACAAATCGCTGCTGAAATGAAAAAAAAAAAAAAAAAAGGGGGGGAAAAAGGATGGAAAAAAAAAATTTTTTTTTTTCTTTCTTATTCGATTCGAATACTAATTTTTTAAAAAATATTTTACCGCCTTCCTCCCTCCCACCCCCCTCCTTCTGATCCCATTGGAAATTTATACTATGGTAAAATAATAATAATATTTGTCGGTTAAATAAAAATAATTTTGATTTTTGTTTTGTTTTCGTCCACGTTTAAATCTCCCCTCGAGTAAAAAAGAAAAAAATTTTCTTTTACCGAAATTTTCCTCCTCCCCTTCTCTCCCCCTTTTTTTTCCTTTTTCGAGTGTAGCATTTAAGAACAACAAAACGCCTACAATTACGTGTTAAATAAAAAAAAAAAAGAATTGAAAAGAGAATGAAATAAAATTAAGAAGCATTCAACAACAAAAAAAAGACGAAGGGTGTTTTCAAATACGTTACGTCAAAAAAAAAAAATATTTACGCATGTTTTATTTATTTTTTATTTAATAATAATAATAATAATAATACATAGTTATTACTTAATAATTTATTTAAATAAATATAAATAATTATTAATTTTATTTTTAAAGCGAAAAAAAAGAAAAAAAACAACAACAACAAAGTCTTAATTTCGAATGAATTTCTCGTTAATTAATGGAAAAAAAAATTTTCTCTCTCTCTCTCTTATGACGTCACTTCCTTTTTCACTTACCTACGTCTCGACGTTTCTAATAATCCTCTTATTAAAAAAAAAAAAAAAAAAAAATGTTTCTTTTTTTGTTAATACGATACAAATTACAAAACAATTATAATAACATCCTCGTCGTCTATGGGGTATGTATAAAACACGTGTGTTGTGTTATGTTGTTGTTGTTGTGTTTTGTGTTGTTGTTTTGTGTTTTTTTATAAGTCATACATTCGATTCGTGTGAATCGAAAAAAAAAAAAAAAATTTTTTTCGTGTGACAGTTAAAATGTTTGTTGTCATCATATTGAAAATGTGAATCAAATTTATTTGTTCTTCTTCATTTTTTTTTTTTTTACCCCTTTTTCATTCACTTGAATTTTTATTATTATTATTATTATCATTTTATGTATGCTTAAAAGAATATTCGAATGTCACGAAAAAGAAAAAGAAGAAGATTCGGAAAATATCAAAAAAGGAAACGATTTGATTTACGATGACAAAACATAAAACAAAACAAAAAAAATTATTAATAAAAATAATAATTAGC